CGGCGGTTTCGGTTGTCCCGGCCCTGCCCTGGGCTCGCGTGCGAGCGGCTGAGTTTGCTGCGCTTTGTCTTGTCAAGGGGTTCTATTTCTCTCCTCCCTCCTGCCCCTGACCAGGGTGGTGGGATGGGGTCGGGTCTGACCTTTGCTGGGGACACTGGTGGGGCCCTGCTGGTGTTTCTGGCCACGAACCAGGAGGTGTTGCGGTACAGGGGGGAGCAGGGAAAAGCTCGGTGCTGTTAGATTGGGGGGGACCCCACAGCCAATGCCCCAGAGCTGGTGGATGGGATGGGATGGGATGGGATGGGATGGGATGGGATGGGATGGGAGGAAGGAACCCAGCACCCAAGCCCTGGGACGGGTCACCCCGATGTCCCCGCTGGTGATGTCCCAGGTGCAGGCAGCCGCCCTCTGCTCCGAGATGAGCACTTAGCCTTTGCCCAGGAGAGGCGGCAGGCTTGTATGTATACATTTTATAGATATTTTTACATATATGCATTAGGAAAAAAAATATATATTGCTTTTTGGTATATATATTGCTCTTTTGTATGGAGCAATATAAAAATTGATTCATATATATCAATTTAAAAGCATATATATATTGTTTTACCTATATATATGTATATATAGTTTTACAGAAGAAGGTCTCCTGTGGGCTGAGCCCGCTGCGGGTGCCGGGGCCGGGATGGCGGGGTGCCCGAGTGCCACTGCCATCGCCGGGGCCGGCTTGGCCTCTCCACAGCCGCCGGGTTTCCTGCTCCGGGCCGGAGCGCGGGTTTCCGGGCTGGAGGCTGGCTGAATCACCGGAGCTGGGGGGGCTGAGTAATCCTCCATCCCCACCGATGGAAAACCCAGGCTGGGGGGAGCAGGGTGCCGACGGCATCCCGGCTGTGCCAGCGGGCGAGCCTCCACCCCAACAGGGTGGGATGGAGGGGATGGTGGCACCCAGGCGGCAGGGCACGGCGCTGCCGGGGACGGGACTCCGGCACAGGGTGCACCGGAGCTGCTCCGGGTGTTTGAGAGGGGAACGCGGGGAGCATCGTGGTATGCCCATACCTGGTGGGACGCAGTGGGTGATGATCTTCAGGAACCCCCTTTTTCTAGGGCTGAGCCCCAAAATTGATGCTGGTGACCCCGAGTGAGCCTGGGAGGAGGGGACGGCTCTCTGCGGGGGCTCTTCCCCAGTGGGGGCACAGGCGGTGTGGGGGGCGAGGGCACGGAGGCGGCTGGTGCCAGCGGAGGGGGAGAGGGGAGAGAGACGGCTCCGGCTATGGCAGGGGCAGAAACAGAGCAGCAAAGTTCCGGGATTCCTGGAAAAAGCCCGGCACAAGGATAGTTTTGTCCGGCTTGTGGACACCAGCGGCCCTTGTTGGCACTGGGGGTACGTTTGCCATGCTGCCCCCAGGGAAACCATCCCCAGCCCACCTCCTCCTCCCCCGTGTGCTCCAAACGTCCTTCCCGCTCCTGATTTATTTGTGTTTCATTTATTTTTGTGTTGTTGTTTGTTTGTTGTTTTTTCTTCCTGCATCTCCGTTGGCGGCAGTGAACAGAGGGGGTCTGCGCCTCCCTGGTGCCCCTCAATTTTTGGGGGTCCTGCCTGGCGACATGGCATCCCACCAGCCACCGATGCATGGATTCTTCCTGGGAAGTGGCCAGCCCTGTGCCGGAATGGGATGGCCCCTGGGAAAAACGCCCTGTGTCGCTGTGGGCTTTTAAAAAAACGCGATTATTTTTACAGCAATTTTCCATCTATTTTGGGTCGGAAGGAAAATGTCGAGGGGGAATCTCTTTTTATTATTATTTTTTTGAGTCTTTAGGGTAACTCAGTTTTTAACACACACCTTTGAAAGTTCCATTTGATGACGGGGACCCCACGGTGCCGAAGGGGGGTGGGCTCAGCAGCCGTCCCTCTGTCCGGCAGGGAAGGGGATCGGCAGGTTTGTCTGGCAGTAAAAACCATCAGTAAATCCATGACCGATTAATAACTGCTCTTTGCTGGGTTGGGAAAACTTGCTGGCAGCGGCCGGGGACGGGGCTCCGGGTGATGGGGATGGGGATGGCTCTGGACCCGCTGGCGGATTGAATTCCAGCTTCTCCCTCGTAATAAGGAAAATTTTCCAGCTGTGCATTGCTTCCATCCACGCCTGGATATTTGAAGGCATAAACCAGGGTAGTGCGGTGCGGCAAGATGGAAAATCCCCTCTCAGCGACGCAGGGTGAGGTGGACCCCGAAACCTGCGACCAGCTCCTTAAATATATGGCATTAAATATATGCTGGCCGGAAAGCATCTTAAATCGCGGGCTGCAAAATATACGTTGGCCGAGTAAAATTTTCACCGCTAAATTAACGGGGAGTTTTGGAGCTGGGCAGCTGCCTGCTTATTTTGAATTTTTGAAGATTATTTTTAACAAAAAAAAAGGGAGAAAGCAGCCCGAGAGAGAGCTCTCCTCCTATTTTTGAGCGGCGCTGCTTTGGGAACGAGCGCTGCCCGGTCCCAGGAAGGGCAGGGAGCAGGCAGGGCTGGGGGAAGCTCATCCGTGGGGTCACCCCATGGGGGGGGGGGTTTCTCTCCAGCCCCCCCTGTCCCCGATGCCTGGCCGGCGCTGGGGGGGTCCCTCTGGCGCTGCCTGCCTGCTGCCTGCTTTGGGCAGGAGAGTGGAAGCTGGCATCCTGCCCGGGGATTGTTTTGGGGCTGAATGGACGGCAAACGGGGTTTTTTCCGGGGATTGGAAACACTTCCCCTCTGCTGTGCTGCCGGGGGCAGGGGGGTGGTGGTGGTGGTGGT